AGACCAGCTTCTCAAATAATTTGTTCAGGATACAGATTGAATAGGCATGGAAAAAGGGTACAAGCCTGATGCACACTTTTTCCGATCTTAAACTATGCACTGCTCCATTCACACAGTAGCCTCTTGGTCTAGGTAAAGGTTACACATGAGCAAAATTAAGTATTCTGGGATTCCCATTCTTCTCAATGCTAGTCACAATTTTTTACGATCTATACAGTCAAATGTCTTTGCATAGTCAATAAATCACAAATAGACATTATTCTGTTATTCTTTGCTTTCAGCCAGGATCTATCTGACATTAACAAAGATATCCTTAGTGCCACAGCCTCTACTAAGTCCAGTTTGGACTTCTGGCAGTTCTGTAGGAAAAATCTAGCAGTTTGCTTTTGATGACATTATCTGATAATTTCCACATTCTGTTGGATCATTTTTCTTGGGAATGGGAACAAATATGGATCTCTTCTAGTCAGTCAAGTATCTGTCCTCCAAATTTCCTGCATAAACTGGTGAGCACATCCAGCTCTAGAAGACAAAGTATTATTACAGAATGTGCAGAGAGCTGGTATTATAGAATAAAAAGTGAAGAACTCACTTGGCATTTCTCAAGCTGAAAGAATTGAAAAGCAAATTCAAGATTTGAATTGTATTTTTGAGAGATGCTCTGTGCAAAATCTTGAATGATTCAGGAAGCATCAGAAGAAGATGGAGGATATTAGGGAACTCTAGTGACCTGGAGAAAGGATGAAAGTCACGCAGGTGTCGAGGACCTTCGTTCATAGGGTCGCTATGAGTCACCAAGACTTGATGGCACTTAACAACATAGAGAGAGACCAGTTGGCCTAGTGGACTGAAAGTGATGCGACCAAGCCAAAGGTGGCTGACTCTAATCCATGGTCCTAAGACCTGTTTTTAATTGTTTTTGGTGAAACATTCTTCTAGGTCGTATAGCCCTGGTGTGTCCACTTGCCATACAGAGGTAATTTGTGGTTGCTGTGAAACTGAACACTGTGACACTGATGTGTCAAATGTGATAATGGTTACCCATGGTGGACAATGTTTGGTGGCACTCCCCGGTTGAAAAAAGCCTGGAAGCAGGAGTGACATCCACTTCCGTAAATAGCTTGCCTCCGGAAACCCTATAAACCTGGAGAAAGGATGAAAGTCACACAGGTGTCAAGGACTTTCGTTCATAGGGTCGCTATGAGTTGCCAACGACTTGACGGCACTTAACAACAACAACAACAACAACAACAACAACAACAACAACAACAACAACAGTGGCCTAGTGGCAAGAAGCTACACTGCAATTCTGAAGGTGTGCCATTCAAATCCACCAGATGCTCTGCTGGAGAAGTGGGGCAATCTCCTCCTGTGTCAGTGGAATCCAACTCAATGGTACACAACAAAACAAACAAATAAACAAAAGAGTATAAGAAGATGGAGGGAGTACCTGGAATCACTATACCAAAAAAGAACGAAAATATTTCAGGAAGTAACAATATAATGAAAAGCCAATGGTAATGAAGGAAAAAGTTCAAACTACACTGAAGGCACTGGCAAAAAATAAGGCCGTAGGAATTGATTAGACAGCACTCTACTAGACACTTATATAAGCTCATTGGAGCTCAATGCTAGCTCTCTTTTGGGGCACTTGCTTTCCTGGGACGCAGCATCCAGGTGTGCCTGGCCATTTGCTAACCAGTTCCTGCAATAGGGGCCTGTATCACCATGGTTGTAATTTCCCCGAAGGGTCTGAATTTCTGTGAGAACTTCCAGGCAACCACAAAAACCAAAGGACCTAGAGGAGTGAGAGAACTGAAGGAAGGAGGAACAGATGATGTCAGAAATCATAAAGTGGTACAGCAGCTAAAACATTTGAGAAACTTGACTTCCTTTTTGTAACTCGTCTGCTACTAATCTTAGTAGAAAAAATACGCACATGTACAAATAGTTTTGGGTCATTCAATAGAGGACTGGAAAGATATAATAGGAGGAAGAAAGAAGCTTAAATACTAAGACAGCCTAGATAACAAAGGTCAAGGAAATGAAGCAAGGGTCCTATTTGGAATGTGGTGAAGGAATGTTGAGAAAACACGGGTCACACATACCCAGCCAATTTCCCTCTCAGGAGGTCTTTGGAAATGTGTGGGCTTATTTTGTTGTAAAACTTGAGTTTCTTAGGAGCATTTCTCCACTTTTAGGTAAAAAGTAAAGAATAGAATAGTCCTGGACAACTAAGAATTGATTACTCACTTTTTTTTTTCTTGTTCGCATTTTACTTTTTCATTATTAATTTTTTTAACTTAAGTGAAAGCTTATAAATCATACTGTTTTCATGCAATCATTCATAAACATTTTATTTTGCTATCATTAATTGCCATTGATTAATGTAATTAAGTCTAATGTCTAATCAAGCCCTTTTTGTCTACTGCCTATTCCTTCACCCAATGTACCTATTTATTAGTTTTTACTCCCCTTTCTCCCCGCTTTCCTTTCCTGTATCCCTCTATAACAAGACATACAGTTAAACCTGAACAATTTTAACAATATTTCAAAGTATGAAATTATGTCCAAAATACTGCATGGCAACAGGTCTGTAAGGCCATATTGACTTTTGGACAAATTGTAACTATAAAGATGCAATGCTCTTAATGATGACATTATTAAGAAAGAAAAGGGAAGCACTTTCATTTGATTGTATTCAAAGTGGGGGAGAGGGAGAGTACTCACTTTTTTTTTATAGATTACCCTGGCAACTTAATTTTAGTTCCATTCATCTCTATGATGGAGCTAATTATCTCCTACCTCACACAATTTTTTAAAAAGAATATGCATCTACTTGACAGACCTGGAGCAGTTACTGTCTGCTTTTTGGGTTTCCATCTCAGATGCAATAATACCATTACTCACACTTTCTGTCTGCCTCCTGGTGGCAGCCAAGATTAAATAGGGGAATACAAAAAGTATTGAATTTGTAAATCATTCCCTCTACAAGAGGATGAGAAATGTTTCAGAAACACTTGCCTCCTGGTGAATTGTTTTTAAAAAATTTTTAACTCAAAACCTCTTACTTAACACAGAGAATTGAGGTTCTTAAAAAAATTGCTTTTCCACAAAGATTATAATTACATGCTCTTGATATCTAAGGATACTCAAATTCCTCTGTAAGCCACAGGTCATAATGGTCATTATAAGTGTAGTTTATACAGCTATTGTTAGATGTCCCTAAGTCAGAACCAATTAAAAACTGTAGTGAGTTTTCAGATGCTGTAAATTTCTCAAGGGGAGAATGCGCATCTTTTTCCCAAGGAGCAGTTGGTGATTTTGAACCTACTAGGCCAGCAGAGCTCCGTGTAATTTATAATGTTGTTGTTGTTGTCATGTAGTTGAGTATGGCTCATAGTGACCCTATGAACAAAAGATCTGAACCCTGTCCTATCTTGTGCCATTCTCATCATCTGAGACAAACTTTAGCTCATTGCTGCAGTCACTGTGTAAAAGTATCTTGTTGAAGCTCTTCTTTTTGATGTCAAAGCATAATGTCCTTCGCCAAGGAATAGTTTCTTCTAGCAACATGCCCAAAGCTTTGTCATCTTTGCCTCCAAGGCAAGCTTTGTCATTCTTTCTCCAAGCTTTATCTATCTGTTCTTTTGGTAGCCAATTAGATAATCAGTATTATTCTACACTACCCCAACTCAAAGGCTCTTTTTATTTTTTGCCTTCCTTATTCACTGTCCAGTTTTCAGATGCACAGCAAATGATCAAAAATACTATGACCTGAATTAGGTGCACTTTAGTTTTCAAAATTAAATTCTTGCTCCCAAGTAATTTAGAGAGATCCCTGGCTGTAGACTTTTCCCATACACTACTGTCTCCTGACTGCTGGTTTCAAGGGTGTTGATTGTGGATAAAGTGAGATAAAGTCGTTGACAACTTCAATAATTTCTCCATCTGTCATGATGTTGCCTTTTGGTCTAGTGGTATTTTTGTTTCTTTGACGTTGTGAGGCAATCCAAATTGCATTAAGCGCTTTCCCCCCTTTTTTTCTTTTCACCCACTGGGACAGCATTGACTCCCTCCCCTCCCCACCCAGTAAGCGCTCTAAGTCCTCCTCATTTTCAGCAAGCCAAGCTGAATCAACCGAATAACGCAGGTTGATGAGTCTTTCTCCGATCATGATCCCATATTCTTCTTCCACATACTCTGGTTTCTGTTCAGATCGTATAAATCTTTCTATTGTAATAATAATTTATAATGTGTTTTTGTTTGCCATTGAGTTGGAATAGACTCACAACTGACCCTCCAGCGGCTTTTCAGAGCAGTAAACCACATGGGGCTATACCATGGTCTGCCAAAAGAACGAACAGGTTCAACCTGGAGAGGGTTAAATCAGGCTGCTCCTTGGAGACAAGATTCTGAAGCTTCGTCTGGCATATTTTGCAAGGAGGGACTAGTCCTTGGAGAGGGACGTCATGCTCGGGAAGGTGGAGAGACAGCCCCTCGATGAGATGGATTGATTCAGTTGACTGGGGTTAAGTGTGTCAGAGACAGTGCAACTGGCACAGGACAGAGCAGGGTTTAGGGCTGTTGTACATAGGGTCGCTATGAGTCGCAGGCGACTCCACGGTACATAACAACAACAACAAACCACACGGGAGATTGTCCATCTTTTTCCCCCAGAACTGCTGGTGGATGTGAAGCGCGTGCTTTTGGAATGCTGTGCAATTTCTTACCAGTAGGCCACCAGAGCGCATTATATTTAAGAAGAATGTGCGATAAGAAAACCTTAAGTGCGAAATCAGCCTCCAGAGAATTCCGCCTTCCACTCGGCTCCAAGCAACTCAAATGATTTGAAGAACCACATTGTCCAGCAGACCTCGCGGCCCGGTTCGGCGCTCTCGCGGTGCATTCTGGGATTGGTAGTTCTAGCCTCCGATTGTTGCCCTGTTCGACCCGGGCCTGAAACTCACCTCCCCAGTTTGCCTTGCGGCCGAGGGCGTATCTCCGCGACCAGGAAACGGGAAAGATGGCGACTGCTCGGCGACGTTGAGGCCGCGTTGGGCGGTTCAGAGTCAGGGTGGTGAGTCCCGGGTGATGGAGGTGGTTCGTAGGATCTTACGGCGAGGGCGAGAGTGGGAATATGACGATGGCCTCTACCTCCAGGATGAGGGAGGAAAGCACGCCTTAAGGAAAGGGCACGGACTGGAGAAGCTCTAGTGGGTCAGGGTGAAGGGGCGCTAGCCCCAAAGGGAGTGTTGACTCCTGGGGGCATAGGCCACAACCCTGGCCCAAGGACACAGCGCCCGTGATCTGCCCAGTCTGACTTTATTCCCTCATTCTTCGACTATTTCTTCTTTATTCAAACGAACTCTGGCTTTTCTCCCAGAACCGCTCCATGCTTTCCCGCCTCTGCATCTCCTGTATTACTATTACTTTTTTCCTCCCAGGATTGACTTCCCTTTTACGCTTTCAAGTATACATCTTCAAATTCTACCTGTAATTAAAAGATACAAGAAATACTTCCTGTACGAACTTTCCAAATCCCTTTCATAAATTAAACTCATTTGCACTCTTCCTTCATTTGAAACTTCATCTTGGTATCTTAACACTATATACGTCTACGTCTTTTCCTTGTTTGTACTATAAGCGTTTTGTCAACAAGATCTTCCGCATTTCCTTTGTAATTCACTCAGTGCCTAGCATATGGTGATTAAACATTGTGCTGCCAACTGAAAGTTTGGTGGTTGGAATCCATCAGAAACTTTTCAGGAGAAAGATGAAACATTCTGCTTCTATGTGACCTAAAGCCTCTGAAAGACCCACTGGAAGGTCAGTCTGAGTGGGTTCAATTCGACAGCAATGAATTGTTAATATGTATTTTATGGGGTTTTGGCAGATTAATGTCCTACGGCCTCAGAAACTATGGAGTAGTTCTACTTAACCCTCTATGAGTTGAAATTGACTTGTTTGTAGGGAATTTAGTTTTTGATGATAAATGCTTGATTAAGCATCACTTCTAGATCTTGCATACTTGTTACTTTTGGTGATGGGAAATGTAGCAAGGAATGTGACATATTGCAGATTGCTTGGTCAGAGTAAATGTTGCTATTCAGAAGGACACAAGAGAAAAGGATGTTTATGCCGAAGAGTATGACACATAGTACCTTATGTTGTATAGATAATAAGTGTTACAGGGAGCTCTGGTGGCCTGGAGGCTAAAGAGTTGCTCTGCCAACCCAAAGATAGGTGGTGTGAATCCACCAAACTGCTCTGTGGGTGAAAGAGTGGTAATCTATAGTCTTCGAAAACCTATTGGACAGTCAGCTCTGAGTTGTTAATATGTGTTAAATGGCTTTTGAACCATTGAACTGGAACCTACTCAAAACTGATTCTCTAGTGGATTTTCAGAGGTAGTAAACCTCCAAGAAGAGATTGCCCATCTTTTTCCCGCAGAGCTGATATGTTTGAGAATACTGACTATCCCATAGTCTTGACAAAAGAACCAACAAATACGTTTTAGAGAAAGTGCAACCAGGGTGCTTCTTGGAGGCAAAGATGATGAAGCTTCACGTCACATATTTTGGGCATGTTGTTAGGAGGGCCCAATCCTTGGAAAGGGACATCATGCTTGCAAAGGTGAAGGGTCAGAGAAAGAGAAAGAACTTTTTACAAGATGGAGTGATGCAGTGACGGTAACATTGAGCTGTAGTTTATCAGAGATGATTAGGATAGCACAGGATAGGGTAAGATTCATAGCCCTTGTTCATAGGGGTTGTTATGAGTCATAGTCAACTCGATAGCACTTAACAACAACAGTATATGGCTTTTAGCAGGTTAGTGTCCTGTGGTACTATGTTCAGGAAGGGTGTGTGTACATAAATAGACATTCATACTCTTTATGTCAGCTCATTGTATGTGAAAAATAGGACATTTTAACAACACTAACAATTAGAAAGCAAGTATTAGGTCACATATATAGAGGTGTATCTTGTTGTGTGCCGTCAGGTCAGAACTGAACCATAGCTGACCCTGCAGTGGGTTTTCGGAGGTTTTAAATCTCATGGGAGCAGATTGCCCATCCTCCTCTCATAGAGCAGCTGGTAGTTTAGAACCATGTACCTGTGAGATTGCAGTGCAGCTTCTTTTCTTTATTCTTTTTTTTTTTAATTTTTTTTGCAGTGCAGCTTCTTACCACTAAGCTACTAGAGCTCTAGGTACTTTATATAAATAATTAATGTATTTATTATATAAATACCTGAGTGTGTATACATTTATATTCATTGAGAATACAATTTACACATCTCAAACATAACCAAACACCTTGAGAGATTGGTTTTCTGTGTTTGAAGGTTAGGACCTTAGCCTTGTGAGATGATTAAGTCACTGGATATAGTATAAGTTTACAGAGGTAATGTTCTGTATCTTAGGAGGTGAATACTGTCTGAAGTCCTAAAAGTTTGTAAGTAGCCTGCTGAGATAGCAGATTTGGTCTCTGTTCATCTGGAGCAGAAAAAAAAGGATGAAATCCAGAGTCTCAGAGAAGAAACTAGTTTGCAGGGCTGTTAACTTAGAGGAGCCATGACTTCATGAGGTATCCTGAGACCAGAAGAACTAGGTGTACTTGTAATTGTTGTTAGATGCTGTCGAGTAGAGTACGACTCATAGCGACCTAATGAACAAGTCTGAACCCTGTCTTATCCTGTGCCATCTTCACACTTTCTGGCCCACTAGAGCCCATTGTGGCACTCACTTTGTCAGTCCACCTGTTTGAGGGTCTTCCTCTCCTTCGTCGACCCTCCACCCTTCCAAGCATCATGTCTTCTCCAAGGAATAGCCCCTCCTAGTAACATATCCAAAGTAAGGCAAAGCCTCATCATCCTGGCCTCCAAGGAGCACTCCAACTGTACCCTCTCCAAGACATATGTCTTTGTTCTTTTGGGAGTTAATAGCATGTTCAGTGCTCTTCTCCAACAGATGTACCTAATACTGTTCCTTTTTTTTTTTTTTTAAGCAAGGAAGACTATTGTACATGGGGAGCACTGACAGACCACAGTCTCTTAAGACTCAGGCTCCCTGAACGCAAAATTTTCTCTTTATATGAGCTTACAGGGTCGTAGTAAGGATCTCTTTTCTTTTGGCTAGTTTTATATAAATTGTGATTGGTTAGTTAATAGTTTCGGGCAAAGGGGAGATACAAGGAGTAAGGTCATAGGTTAGTTAAAATTCCCTCATTAGAATACTAATCCTTCTGATCAGCATCACAGGTTTGTTGTTCGGTGCTGTTCAGTCAGCTATAACCATAGTGCCCCTAGAAGAAACAACAGATCTGAAACTTGCTTTATTTTGTACTATCCTTTTCTCCTCTGATATGTTGAAACCCATTGTTAACAGTCACCGTGTCAGTTCATCTTGTAGAAGGTCTTCCTCTGGCCCTTCACCTTTCCCAGCATCATGTCTTTTTTTTCCAAGGACTGGCACCTCTGGACAACATGCTAGACCCTGATGTTGTTTGTCGTTATGTGCCGTTGAGTCGTCTATGACTCATAGCGACCCTGTGTACAACAGCCCTAAACTCTGCTCTGTCCTGTGCCAATCTTACTGTCTCCGACACACCTACCCCCATTACCCTAGTCACTGAATCAATCCACCTCATAGAGGTCTTCCTCTTCTGCGCTGTTCTGACACCCTCCCAAGCATGGTGTTCTTTTCCAAGGACAGGTCCCTCCTTGCAACATGTCCAAAGTATGTCAGACGAAGCTTCAGAATCCTTGCCTCCAAGGAGCAGCCTGGTTTAACTCTCTCAAGGAAGAACCTGTTCGTTTTCTTAGCAGTCCATGGTGTATTCAATACTCTCTTCCAGCACCACAGCTCAAGCCTTTGATCACTTTTCCTTTTATCCTCCCTAGTCATTGTCCGTCTCTCTGATGCATAGCAAGTGATTGCAAAGACCATGGCTGTATCAGGTGCACCTTAGTCTCCAGAGTGACACCATTTCTCTTCAGTACTTTGGAGAGGTCCCTGAGTTTGCTTGGCTCCACAGTCAACACTCTTGGCACCAGCAGCCAGGAAATTAAAAGACATATTACAATGGGACCTTAATAGAATGGGAATCAAACAGGGGGGAAAAAATTCAGATTTTTAAAACATTTAGACTTACCGGACCAGTTGAGAGTAGAGGATAACCTGAGACCATTTTCCTATCTAAATAGGCTAAAACTTAAACTGAAACTGTCCCTTGAAATCACCTATTAAATCACCATTTGATTGACTAACAAAATACACCAAGATGCTGTAAAAACAGTCTATATGAGACTAAAGCTCTTAATTTTCTGTGGTTCAGTAATGGTGCTGCAAACTGTACTCAATTGTACACTTAGGAATTATCTTTGGTTCTCCTCATTTGCTTTCTCCCTTCATCAATAAGTCTTACCAGCTCTGCCTCCAAAGTATACCTTGAAGCTGTCTACTTCCCATCTCCATTGCCATTTTCATACAAGACACATTTTTTATTTAGAATTAGTATTCAAGGCCAGCTCTGGTGGCCTAGTGACAAGAAGCTGCACTGCAGTCCCAGAGGGTGAGTGGTTCGAATCCACCAGATGCTCTCCTGAAGAAGGGACAATCTCGTCCTGTACCAGTCAGATCCGATTTGACGGTACACACACACAAACAAAAATAATAAAAAAGGAAAAAAACCAAAAAAGACTTGGTATTCTAAATAAGAGATGTATCCTGTATGAAAATAGTGTTAGTGTTGTGTTTCCTCCTTGCCTCTCTCTCTCTCTCTCTCTCTCTCTCTCTCTCTCTCTTTCTTCATTGCCCTTGACTTTGAACCTACTCATAACTGGCATTCCAGTGGATTTTCAGAGGCTGTAAATCTTAATAGGAGGAAATAGCCTGTCTCTCTCCTCGGAGCAGCTGGTGGATATGAAATACCAAATGGGCATGTCTCTGTGTTAGTAGTGCAACGCCTTATGGACTACACCACCAAGTCACTTTTGCCTCCCTGGTATGTATTTTCATGTTTACTACCTTTCTAAGATTCTCATGTTGTTGTTATGTGCCCTCCAGTTGCTTGCA